TATATATATATATAAATTTTGTTAGAAATCATCTAATTTCTAAATGAACCCAAGAATAGGCTGTGCTGTAGTTACTATTTGGTGCATTATAGGATCATAAGATAATTCAGGTTGGGAGGGCCCTCAGGAGGTTTCTAGCCTGACCTGCTCAAAGCAGGGACAGCTACAAGGTCAGACCAGGTTGCTCAAGGGCTTTATCCAGTTTGGTCTTACAAATCCTCCAAGGATGATGACTCTGGGCAACCTGTTTAGTTTGAATCTCTGTTATTTCATCTTACACTCACTGTTTTGTGTTCTCCACCACTTGAAGAGCCTGACTCTGTCTTCATGATGCCCTCCTCATAGGTATTAGAAAGCAACTATTATATGCCGTAATCAGTGATGCCACAGTGGGTTATAAGATTAATTTCTAAAGCAGCAAGCACATTTGAAAATCTTGAGTATGAATTTTGATTAACATACAACTTTTCAAAAGATTTCTGTTCAACTTTTGCTTCTCTTGTAAATTCTCTCAACAATACAAACACACATTTCTAATTACTGTGGGAATGCAGAAAAGATACCTAGTTTGCTGTTTAATTATTCTCTTTTCTCCAGCTAAATCACGGGGACAGCCAATGCAAGTGGTGTATGTGCCATCGCACCTCTATCACATGGTTTTTGAACTTTTCAAGGTCTGTGCAGTTACCACGACACAATTCTTTTATACATCTTTGTTTAGTGAGATTATATTTGTTTGACTTTTTGAACCAATTCTAGATTGCAAGTGCAAGCCTCTCACTATTTGACTGCAGGAAGACACTGAAATTGTACTATTTAGACAAACAGTAACTATGCAGTGAAAGTGAACAGCTTTGGAAGATGTATCTCCTTTGCTTGCCTAGCCACTGAATACATCTGACACCTGAGTAGACTGCTTTGTCAAAAAAAAAATCTTAAAATGTACAAAGATGCTAATTAATACAGCAAGTGAGAATAAGGTATAGAGTTTCTGGGACATCTTCAAATCTGGTATAATGTGTAACAGGTCCTATATAGCTTTCCTCAAGCAGTTCAGTCCTAGACTTTTCTTGATCTTTGTGTCATATGGCATGTACTATGCATTACAAAGAATTCTACAAATAAAACTGTACATTAAAATATTCAGATGTTTGTTCTAAAAAAATTAAATATTTGAAGTCTGTGTATTCTAATAAACTATAGAAATACTGATACTGAACAAACCAGAAATAGTAAAAAACCCTATTCTAAAACCATATACATTTGTCCTGATTCTGAAATAGTTGATAAAAATAACTTTCCTAAATTGATGCTTTAAGATAATATACAAAGTGGTAAGAACAAGATTTAAGTTGTACTTGAAAATTGCAGAATGCAATGAGAGCCACCATGGAACATAATGCTGATCGATGCATTTATCCTCCAATTCATGTACACGTCACGTTGGCAAATGAGGATTTAACTGTGAAGGTAACCACTTTTTGATTAGTTTGAAGGTTATTTTGATGAGGTTTGGGGTTCCCCCCCCCGCGCCCACCTC